ATATCCTTCGAGGTCCCTCATCTGGATCTGCAGCAGGGAAAGGTCTCTGAGGATCTGCAGATTGTCTTTATCCAGCTTCAGAGCATTTCGGTAGCACTTAATCGCTTCGTCGTATTTTTTATCGGAGCGCTGCAAGAGCCCGTAAACATGCCAACCTAACAAGAGTTAAGGAAAACGGGCGGACCCTGATTGCCGAAGACGACTTAGGCCCGTGATGGCGAACTTATGGGATGCGTGCCACAGGTGGCACGCAGAGCCATTTGTGCCGGCACGCGAGCTGCAGGCAAACTTACCTCACTGTGCATGCGCACCTCACAGCTGATTTTCAGCAGGTTTGAGGCCTTTTTCAGCCTCCCAAAGGCTTGAGGAAGGCTTCTGCAGGCTGAAAACTAGGCCCGTTTCGTCACTTCCTGTTTTTCTGAAAATACCAAAAGTGATGAAATGGGGTTAGTTTTCGGCCTGCAAAGCCTTCCTCAAGCCTCTGGGAGGCTGAAAAAGGCCTCAAACCGGCCCAAAATTAGCTGTGAGGCACAGTGTAGATAAGGGGGTGGTGGAGGTGGGCGGGTGGGTATTGCGCACGCATGCATAGCGGGCATGCGGGGGCGCGCACTGTCTTCTGGGTGCTGGCATGCGAGCGCGAGTGTGCAAGCATGCACACAATTTTTGGCAAGGAACCGAAAAAGGTTAGCCACCACTGACTTAGGCCAAATTAGTATAACTCAGGGATCACGGGGTTGGTGTCTACTTTTGGAGGTCGTCGAAAGAAAACACAGCCCTAACTTCACCGTAGCAGCTCTAATTGAACTGTGTAAGGATAAACAGGAGTTTGACATTATTATAGGTAGTCCTCAACTTACAACAGTTCATTTAGTGACAGTTCAAAGTTACAATGGCACTGAAAAAAGGGACTTAGAACCATTTTTCACACATCCTCATGGTCATAATCTTCATTTAACAACTCCATAATCCCTTGCGGGGTGGAGTCTGGGCAACTGAATGGAGCTAGCAGAGTGTTTTACTGGCCAGATGCCCTTCCTGTCACCAGTGCGAAGTTTTTTTCATCAGCTATAATCTCAGCGTGCCCAGAGAGAAATATCTGCCTCTAACTGGAGAGCATGATTGATGGCTATGGGTGTGTCCCATTGGAGAATATGAATTATGATACACCCAGGGGGTGAGGGGAAACCAGGGTCAAGGATGACAATGAATGATGTGTCTCAGAGTCGGCTACACCCAGGTAGCACCAGCATGTTTACTCCTAATCAATCTTCTTTAAGCTTTGAAAATCTGGCTAGAGGCTCATGATTTAAATGGTGGTAATTACCGGAGCTCTGACAGAAAGGTAATAAAATAGAGCAAAACGCACTTCATACATGTTTCACTTAGCAATAGAATTTTGTTGGCTCAATTGTAGTCGTACATCGAGGAATACCTGTATCTCGCCACCCCCCACCCCCAATCTTTACAGTCCAAGAAACTAGGGATGGTCCCTTTTCTTCCCCAATCTGATAAGGGAGAGTAATTTAAAACAAAACCACCCCATCACTTTAATTTATTTGTGTAGACAAGACACTGGCTGTCATGCCCCTGTTGGAGACTTACTCCGAGGGAGAGGAGGAACAGCTGACAGGGAGTGGGAGTGTGGCTCCGGAGGTTGTGGAGGAAACTGGGAAAGAACAGAGGCTGGCCGGGCAGTCAGAGGAAGACCCAGGCTCATCCCCTCTCCATGCTAGGGCATGTAAGGAGGAGAGGATAAAGGAGAAACGTGAATGACATGGTCTACAGGGGAGGAAAGGGCCTTGATCTCCTTCACGGGCTGCAGCTGTGAGGACTGTTTAAAAGGACAGACTGCACATAGGCCAGTGCTGGAAACAAAGCGTGAAAATATCTCTAGTCTGTCCGTTCTTATTTGAATTTGGCATCCTCCCCAGTGTGTGTTCTGATATCTGTGGATGTCTTTAAGCCTTTATCTTGCCTGGTTCCCTTAATTGCTTCAGTGTGGTTTGTGTTGTTTTTTTCTATTTATAATTTATAGGTATTGTTAGTTTGAACATCATTTCCTCTTTTTAGCAACTGTGGGGGAGTTTTTTGTCTCCAGTCAAGGATATTGGGAGCTTTGAAGCCAAGTTGAACGTATGAAAGGGATTTCACCTGTTTTTGTGACTGTGTTGCTTTTGTATCCCACCGTGGGTCATCACACTGGCCTATTTCCTAATGAAGTTTGAGAACAGACCTCCTCAGCAAAAAACAAAAACAAGAGGTACAATTTCAAAGGATACACACATGACTTTTGACATCATTCCGTAGCCCTTTCCGGACGAATTCGTACGCGTCTTCTTTTTTCCCTAAACAATTCAACGTCAGCCCTTTCATGGCCAATGTCTCTGGAAAAAAACAACAGTGAACTTTTTGAATAGTGAACCCATTTTAAATCTGCTTTAAGGAAGTGCAGAGGTAAAAAGGCTGGATTTTTCCCAACGTTGCCACCATATATATATATATATATATTTTTTAAAAAACCAAGGCTGAATTTCCATCCTCTCTCACTGAAATATTTCAATCTGTAGACCCAAATGGTCTTCCAACTTGCCTTAACAAATGGCATTTTAGTTAAATTTGTTCATATATAATAGAGAAATGTTTAGATTGAACAAGAAAGATAGAGATGAAGATAGAGATAAAGATGAGGTGTTAGGCATTTTTTGTTGATGTATGTTTAAATATTCAAATAAGGATTATATAAATTTGATAAATGTGATAGAGAATATTCACAATGTTAGCGTGAATTGGATTAATATGAATGATACCTAGTCAAATTTGTTCAGGGACAATAGCAAAATGTTTAGATTGAACAAGAAGGTAGAGATAAAGATGAGGAGTTAGACATTTTTTGCCTATGTATGTTTGAATAATATAATGAGGATTATTTAAAATGGATAAATGTGATAGAAATTATTAATACTGTTATTTTGAATTGGATAAATATGAATGATACCCGGAACCAACTCTGTTCACACATAGTGCAGATGTAAATTAATTAATAATAATAAAATATATATTTTAAAAAAACCTGCATTTTGAAGTGAGGATGACACAAAAGCTGTAAAAACCAGGATAATAAAAAGCTAGGATTGTCTGAGTTAAAAAGGGGATTACAAGCTGGGAGGTCTCTGAAGGATGGTGTGAATATTTTCCTGAACGTGAGAGAACGGCCACCACTGTTCCACATAAAAGGACAATTTCTGGCTTTAGTTCTTTTTATGTTACGATTAGCTACTCCTACTTCAGTTTCAAAACTTATCCAAGGACATGGACTCTTTTTGAGAAACACGTAACAGCAGAAAGAGATGATAGACTGGAGAACCTTATTTCAAAGAGCCAACGATGAATCATATTTGAACACTATACAAAATATTAACCCAAATAGATTTTTTTTTAAATGAACTTTAAGGGTAAGGCATATCCAGGTTAAAAAAAAATACAAGCATACACAGAGACATTCGTTTACAAACGTATATATTTTTTCCTCTCCATTTTGGAAATTTTCTACCTTTTTCAAAATAAAAATAAAAATAGAGGGATTAGTCCATTAAAAAATATGAGATATTATGCAGGTTAAGAAGGATTAAAATTGCCCTGTCATCTCATTCTGTCACATGTATAGATTAGGCCATGATTGAAAGTTTTAAGTTTCCTTCAGAAAATTAGTTGCTTTAGGTTTGAGAATGGAAAGGTCTGTTGATGGTGTTTTTCAGTTGTATTTTGAAGTTCTGATTTAGGATTCTAGACGGTTTCTTACAAATATAAGCACTTCTATTTGGTCACTAGATGTATAGCATCTTAACCAACAACTCTCACTGCACCAACGTAATTAACACAAGCTTTGTGTCATTACAACAACAGTGGGTTCACATTCGTAAACTTCTTGGTGAGGCAACTGCCTTTGAACAGTTCTTAGTAAACAAGACATCAATCACTACATGGCTTTAAGGAAACAAAGTAAACAAAATTTCAAACGTACCTCCATGTTCAGCAAATTTTGGATTAGAGAGGATCATCTTACAGAATTTGAGACCATTTTTGTACTGTTTTTGTTCGTAACATTTCTAAGGGGAGGGAAAAACAGAATGACAAGGAATTAGGAATCAGCAACACACACTGCACACATATACAATATATGAATTGGAACTGACCAGATTAATGTCAGGTGCAAATAATAAGTGACACCGCTGAGGTTGTAGCACTGAAAATTGATTCAAGACTATACACAAGAATCCGGTCAACTCAAATTCAACACTTAAAGTGGCGCCAGATAAGAATTCAAGGAAATTCAGGAGGAATTTGAATTGGAACATGTGTGGCAATGTAAAGATTCTGAGCTAATAGCGCATTTAACGCCAACCTCAGTTCTGATTGCTTTTTTCCTACAGACAGTAACCATTTTAAAAAGCAATAAACAAGGATGGAAGGGCTATACCAAAATATTGTACATTTCTGAGATACTTTGGAAGAAAAACTCTATGTCTAAGACCCCCTAGTAGTGGAAGAAAAAGACAGGTTAGCACACTAGTCATTACCAAGTTGGAAAGTTACGGGAACTAATGAAATACTCACTGAAATATAATAAGTATCAGAAGGAGAACCGACCAAAATTCTAATCAAACTATACAAGATACATCTTGGCTTACAATAGTTCGTTTAGCGAACATTCAAAGTTACAACAGCACTGACTTATGACCACTTTTCACATTTATGACCATGGTCACGTGATTTACACACATGCTTGACAAGTGGTTCATATTTATGATGGTTGTAGCACCTCAGGGTCACATGATCCCCTTTTGCGACCTTGTGACGAGCAATGTCCAGGGGTGGGAGCCAGATTCGTTGAACAACCGTGCTACAAACTTAACAACTGCAGTGATTCACTTTAACAACTGTGGCAAAAATGGCTTTAGAATGGGGCAAAACTCACTTAACAAATTTCTCGCTTTGCAACATAGAATTCTGGGCTTGATTGTGGTCGTAAATCTAACTGTATTAGGATTAATGTGCCATCAACAGGATTGAGGTGAGAAATTAGTCACATCTGGGGCATATAACCTTTATATACTGTTGTTGCTCTCTAGCCCCATCTAGTGGTTGGAGGGACAAATATGCCCCAACATACCATCTTTATATAAAGTTTTTGCGCTCCATCTCCATCTAGTGGCCGGAGAGACAAAATACCAAGTATATTGTTTGAAGCTGAGCCAACCCATTTACCCATCAGCCCGCACTCTCAAAACAAGTGCATGCTGGGAAGCCAGGCTCCATTTCCTTTAGCATTTGGAGACGGCTGAAGCACAAAGAAGAATCCAGTTTAATCGACGGCACATGCTTTAAATTGCTTGTATTTATTGTTAGGTTCAGCAGTAACGTAATACTGTCTATCTTGTAATTGGTTCTCATTGTATGTATCCCTATTTTCCCCAGTTTCACCATATCCTGTTCTTTCAATAAAGCATCCAGATCTACGCACAGAGTCTGTTTTATTGGTGGGTTTAGCTGCATGTCGAGCTGTACACAGACTAACATGTAGAGAGGACAGAACAATTGTGATCTCTGGAAATCTGAGAATGGCACAACCGCTAACATATTAGGTCAACTGAAATTCCAAAAAAGGAGATTTAACAGAGTATGCAAACTATTAATTCAGTATCTTTAATTCTGCAATAAAAGCAAAATGATGCTGAGGATTAAGAGGCCAGGATGGAAAAGAGATGCCAGATGTTCAAGCTGGCTTTAGAGAAGGCCGAGGAATATGAGATTTATTACTAATGCCTGCTGGATAACTGAGAAGGCCAGAGACTGACAAAAATAAGTCAGTATGTATTTTATTGATTAGAGAAAGACCTTTGACTGGGTTGATCATCCCAACTGGTGGAATGCTTTTAAAAAATGGGATATCTAGATTATTGTGATGCAAAATCTACACACAGGGCAGGAAGTCACCGGACAAATAGATTATGGAGAAACAGACTGGCTCTAGGCTGGCAAAAGTAAGAGATGAGGCTGTATATTCTCCCTTCAGTTATTCAACTTACATGCTAAATATATCTTGTTGGAATGGTAAAAGATGAGCATGGCTTTAAATCTGGAGAAACATCAATAATCTGCATTAGGAAGATGACATTGTTCTGATAGCTAAAGATGCAAAGGAGCTGCAAGATGTTTGAAAAAAAAAAGTCAAGAGCGCCATTAAAAAATGGGATTAAAATTAAATGTAAAGACTAAACTACAGGTAGTCCTCACTTACTGACCATTAATTCAGCAACCCTTCTAGGTTTCAACAATAATTTTACAGTCCATTTGCAACAGCTGCAGCATCCCTCAATCATACGATCGTCATTACAACATGTGTTATCTTGTTCTTGGTGTATTTTCCCCCTTCCCTTACCAAAGAGACAGGAGAGAAAGGGATTGCAAGAGAATAAGCTGTTAACTCTTCTCCACATTTAAGAGAAGAGGGAACATCTTTCTGTGTTGAAACCTGTTCCTTTCCAATTTCTCAGCTTGGGGAAATGGACGCGGTAACGGGGGCAATGGGTACCTCCAACTTCCAGGAGAAAATTTATCTAAGAATCAACACCAATTTAATGGCATACAATCAATCGACAATGGAAATGTTTGTCAGCACTGAATCCTGGAATTAAGAAGTATGTAAGATGGCTGGACCTAAAACACCAATGAAAGAAACACCATAGAAATACAGTAAAAAAAGATATATATATATTGTGTTACATATATTAACGGCTGCTAGGGTCTCTTATGAACAGTGCTGGAAGCAGGGAAATGTACCACCAGAAGGAGCAGTTATAAGTAAAATATTAGACTGTGCAGAGATGGACAGGCTAACACTAAGACTGAAAGATAAAGAGGAATTGACATATTATATAGTCTGGGATGCCTGGTATGCGTGGCTTAAGAATAAAAAGAAATTAAAGTTACGATTAGGTAAAGAATAAGAAATTAAGTACAGAAATGTATATATTCACTGAGAAGAAAATAGAAATATATGATGAAAATATATAAATCAGTAATAAGAATAAGGGAAAGAATATGCAATGGTAATGCAATGTAACAAGAAAGAATGTATGTATAGAAACATGTATAAGGAAAAGGAAACAATGACTTGACGTTGATACAATGATGTATATAATTTTACCTTATGTTTTTAAAAACTTTTGAAAACCGAATAAAGTTTATTAAAAAAAGAAAAAAAACACCATAGTAAACTGCCTTGAATTTTTTTTAAAATTAATTAGTCTAGTACAGGCAGGGGTGGGCTACTGGAGGTTCGCGAGAACCCCTAGCTAAGATTCTGCAGTTTGGAAACCCCCAAATCCCACTCCTGGCTGGCCCCGCCTGCCCTGCCCCTTCTGGATGCAGGGAAGTGCAGGGCGCGCGTGGAGGTTCAGGGAGGGTGAAAAACGGGCCTCCCGGAAGTTCGGAAAGGCCGGAAATGGGCCCATTTCCAGCTTCCAGAGAGCCTCCGGAGCCTGGGGAGGCCGTTTTCAC